CCAGGATTATTGCAGCCTCTGCAAATTCCCACAGAAGTATGGAAAGATGTGTCCATGGATTTTATTGAAGGATTACCAAAGTCCATGGGCAAGGATGTTATCTTTGTCGTGGTGGACAGGATGAGTAAGTATGCCCATTTTATGGTCTTATCTCACCCCTATACTGCATTGGAAGTTGCTCAGAGTTATTTGGACAATGTGTTCAAGCTACATGGAATGCCAAACACCATAGTGAGTGACAGAGATACTGTCTTTTTGAGCCAATTCTGGCAGACTTTATTCACCATCCATGGAGTTGATTTTTTGATGTCTACTTCCTATCATCCCCAAACAGATGGGCAAACTGAAGTGGTCAACAAATGCTTGGAAACTTATTTAAGGTGTATGTGCTCCCACAATCCAGGAGAATGGTGCAAGTGGATTCCTCTAGCTGAATGGTGGTACAACACTACCTTTCACTCTTCGATACAGATGACTCCTTATGAAGCTGTGTACTGTCAGCCCCCACCTATCCATCTTCCCTATTTACCTGGAGAAACAGCTGTGGAAACAGTGGACAGATCTTTACAGAAGAGGGAAGCCATGATCAAGCAACTACAACACCAACTACAGAGGGCACAGAACAGGATGCAACAGTTAGCCAATAAGCACATGTCTAAGAGGGTTTTCAACCTAAGAGATTGGGTATGGTTGAAGCTCCAGCCCTACAGGCAAAGCAGTGTTCAACTGAGATCTAACGAGAAGCTGAGTCCTAAATACTTTGGACCCTTCCAAATCTTGTCCAAAGTAGGCAAGGTGGCCTACAAATTGCAGCTGCCCTCTGATGCCAAGGTGCATCCAGTATTTCATGTCTCCCAGCTCAAACAATTCAGGGGAGATATACCAGCTGTACCACATATTCCCTACTGGTTCCACAATACTAATAACCATAGTTACCCCACACCAGAGGCCATTCTGTCCAGGAGAATTCAAAAAAAGGAAAATAGGGCTGGGTGCAGTTCTTGGCCAAATGGCTTGGAGTACCAGAAACTGAAGCTACTTGGGAGTGGTCCGAGTCCTTCCAGCAGAGATTTCCAGACTTCCAGCTTTGAGGACAAAGCTCTAGTCAAGGGGGAGGAAATGATGCAGGCCTTAGCTATATTTTCTATTTCTATTTTTGTTTAAGTATGTTATTATCCTATGTGTAACCTTGTGGGGCAACTCTATAAATAGTGGTTCAACATCTGGAATAATAATAAGAAGAGATATTTTTCATCCTAATCCCCTTTCCAACAAATTCTCTTTCTCTCTCCTTTATGTTATTAGCTACGAGATTTCCTTCTTCCCTACGAAATCTCCTCGCCGGTAACACGTGGTAATACACCAGCCAAGGACATGGGGGGCTGGGAGGCGCCGGTTGTGAAGCTGCTAATTCTTCTCCGCCGCTAATTCCCATCTCTTTCGATTTCTAGTCAAATACTCCCTATTCTATTGTTTAAGGTTTATGAATGAGCACAACTACCAGAGAAGCTCTGTAAAGCAATCCCAGTAGAGGTCGAAATCTACCAAATTAAAATGAAAAATGCTAGGGGTACACCATACCAAAAGTGTACATTATTTGTCCCACACTCCCTCTATTTCTACATAAATGGGCAAGAACTTTAAAAAAATTAAATAAATAAAAAGTAGAAAAAACAGATGGTAGAGAAGGGAGTGGGGGACAAATGGGGTACACCATTTTGGTGTACCCCTAGCATTGCTCAATTATAAAGGCTGTTTAAAACAGATGCTAACTCTAGGATTAAGGCCTCAAGGGTTTTGGGAATTGGGATTGTGTTTCACCTTAAGGCCTTAATGTGAAATATGATTTTATTTTGAAGTAAAATTAAAGTTGAAATAGATACAATCTTTATTTTGAAAACTTATGTTCATTATTAATTGACACAACTCTTGAAAATTTATTTTAAATTGAAATTAGGAATCTTTTAAATTAATCGACATGACTTTAATAGCACTGGATTTAGGGTTTGAAATCCGATCTTCAAATCGAGGTTACAAACTTTGTCTCTTTGTCACATCATCAGCTTTAACCATTTCTTTAACTTACGTCACCATTACATCAGTTTTAAGCCTCTCTTTAACGCTCCAAACCTTCAAATCATTATTTTTTTTACATTTTTAATAAATGTTTTGTAAAATTAAATTATTAAAATTTTATTAATTAATTGAATTTAAATGAAAATAATTCATTAAATAAAAAAATTACATTCAAAATAAATATCATTAAATTAAAAAAATAAAATAATAACAAAACTAAGACATATTATATTTGGTCTTGATCTCTTTTTGTCTTATCTCGTAAAGCATACGTTAGAAACATGTTAATGTATCATGGTTGTGTTAAGGAAGGAATATATTTACATATATTTCCACAAGTTAAAGAAACTTTGACCCATATATTTTTGTATATATTATTTTGGTAGTTTCCTGATGCATATTGATTCTCTTTCCATTTTTATTTAGTTTACACATAGAGTTCCTAGCTTGTGGGATTCTATGTGTGTGTGTGTGTGTGGCCTTTGTTCATATTGCAATGATCAGAAATACAAGAGAAATTTTTTTAATACAATTCTTTCATGGTATGTAACGCCCCAAAACATATCCTAAAATTTATTGAATTAAATATTTAATTAAACAAATTTTTTTTGATTAAAATAAACTATTACTAGACTTTGAGCCGATATGAAATATATTTTGATGTCCAATATCACAATCTAGATAAATTTATTAGATATGAATCCAATATGTTGACTTATTGTGTGATCTTGATTGGGACCTGAGTACAGACCCAAAATAAGAATAAATGAAGAATTTGTTTATGATGATAAATCATTAGAATAAGTGATATGAATTAAATGAGAGAAACTTTTTGAATAAAGTTCAATTAAATCAATTTTCACCCAGTCAAAGTCAAACACCTTAAAAATATGCTGTCGGAAAAAGTATTTCAAATAAATATAAAAACTATATTGTTGAATAGATCTGGACTGTCTGATCGCAACGATGCAAACGAAATTCAATTCGGAGAAAGTTGGACCAAAAAGTGGACCCCAACTAGAACCAAAATTGGTCTCAATCAGGGAACATCATGAAGATAGCCGTCATGCGCACTAATGTCGTTCGTGAGTCATCTGTGACTCACAATTCATTGGTTTCTTCTTCCTCTCCTTCCCTATATAAGAAGCACACATACTCTTCCATTTCTTCACGAAATCACCCAATTCTTCTTTCTATTATGTTGCTCTAAGTGTGAGGAGTGTTGTGGTGCTGTCAATTTGGTGTATAGTCGCCGGAGCAAGCTATGGTGTTCGTCGGGAATTTCACTGTAAAATTTCCAAAGCCAATTTAAGCTCGAAGTAAGTCCATAGATATATCTAATGACTAGAATGTTCATATATGTCGTTTCTACGTTCATAAATGGTCATTTGGTTGAGTTTTGTGTTTGTGAAGAAAATAATAAGAGGGAAAATATTCTGTATATTGAATTGTTCTGCTAAGTACAAGGAGTTTCTCCTTTATTTATAGGAGAGGATAAAGACCAAAACACAAAAGGAATTCTATTCCTACAAGGAAACAAATCACTAAATATGAACAAGGAAACAAATCAAGAGCAATCCCACTTAGAATGGGATTTGCTCTCCTTCTTGCCGTGTGGTCCAAGGAGCACCGCCCAACA